CGTGGTTTTAGGATGAGATGTTCAACAAACTTACTTTTCCAGGAGCACACTCAGTCCCATCGAGGGGTGGCCCCTTCTTGGTTTTGCAGAAGTAAGGGTTGTCTGGGTGGCTGCACCACAGCTGTTTACATGGGTCGAATGTACGAAACTAAAAGACAGAAAAAAGGAAAATCATGCCTTAAGGTATGTGAGCTGACGACCTGTATCTGAACTGAAATACGCATAACTCATAGGCTGAAAGAAGGAAAGTGTTTTCTTGAAACACATTCTGAGAAATACCATCTGCCTTTACAAAGGTTTGCACAAGAACTGAACAATATTGCCAATGATGTACAGATGCAAGTAACGCTCCGTATTTTACAAAGAAAAGTCTATAAATATAGGTAGAAAAACATTTACTATTTCACAGTCACGGTACTCTATCCTCTTACAGGCAGCTGACACATCATCACAAGTGTTACGGCCTCCACTATCAGAGGCACTAGTGGTTTGAGAATGTTTTCTTTGGAAACAGTTTACACTTAACCTCCTCTTTAGATGTTATTTTCAAGGATTAGAACAGATCATCAAATTGATTCAAGAGAACTCTAAGCCTTTCAGCTGCCAAGGGCATCTGTATACCAAGTGTGAAGAACATGACCCCTAAGACCTATTGCTTTCACTCAAAATGGTCTGTCTCTTTCCTTTTTTGGCTGACATCGTTTTCTCAGTCATGAAGCTCTGTCGTGTCTGCAGCTTATTCAGAATGCAGTTGTTGCTCGTCTACACAGAACCAAGAGGAGAGATCAAATAATAATTATTGTGTAATTACGGTTATCAAATCCATATTTATTTATTTATCCGTTTTATGACGCCTATAATTTGAAATTGCACCCATATTGTGGTGCTTATTTTTAAGGGTGCTAAAACATGATATAACTATCTCAGCCAAACACATAGACTTTTATGATTTTCATTTTGTTGGTGGAACCTGACTCCAGTCTTTTTCAAGGGCAATACACACCAATGGTAGCAAATGATTGCACATTGAAACACCTGCGCCCTTTGTTGTCCTAGCCTTGTTGTTGAGTCATCTCTTTAGAAAACCAGTGATTTGTTTGTATCTGCTTTCCGCATCTGCTCATCCAAGCTACTGAACCTTCACCACTTCTTCTGTCTGTATGACATGTGGCGATGTGTGCTACAGGCATCAATTTGCCAGTGAAAAAATGCTCAGTGATCTAGCTGCTGATTAATAGTACCCTCACCAAGCAGCCAAATATGTCAAAAAATGGAAACAAGTTAGCCCATGGGCAAAGGAACCAGTAATTTGTTTTTAACACAGTTTCAAATCTGACTTCACCACCTTGTGGCCATTAATGACTTTTTACAATTAGGCTACTACCGCAATTTATTCACCTCTAATATATTTGGATGAGGCACCACTCTTTTCTTTTTCATACTCCATACCAGTTTTCTATAATTGGCTGACAAATTCTTAAAGGTGGGGTCTATTTGACATGAACTGACATAGATATTAAACACATTGTGCAACACATGCCAACCCTACTTGCCAGATTTATACAATATCCACACACGGCAACTTCAGTAAGGTTAGGGAAAGATCAGGTTTATGGCTTTAAAAGTAAGGTTAAAGTTAAAGATGGATTACCAACCAGGCAAAGCATCTGCGCGCCAGATATCTAGAACCTCTCCTTGTTCACTATTTAGCAATGATCTGATGAATTTCAACTTTGTCTGGGAATGTGCACCACTAAAGCAACTGAAAGTGATAAGCTCCTTAAGGTGGGTCCTGCTCTATTAAACCTGGGACCATGTATTATTCTCAGAATAATGTACACAATGAACAGAAGAGAAGGAATAGGTGATGGGGCCCTTAAGATAATCCAGCCATGGTTAAGGTATGGTTGAGGTTAGGCAACTAAAACACTAGGGACAGGGTTCAGGAAAGTCTGTGGTTTTGGTTCAAAGAAAGCAAACGTGCAATTTCCATTAAGGTTTAATAAAGAACTTCACTTTAGTGTTGTACTGTGACAGTAAACAAACTCTGGACTACTGTATAAAAGTTAAATCAGCACGTTTTCTGTTTCGCTGCATAAAGAATATACTACTCCTACATTAACATTGAACAATGGTATTGACAAAATGTTGTGCTGCAGAATTGTCCAACTAATTGTGCTACTATTTATTGTTAGGTGTATGTTGAAGTTTTGCTGCAGAACAGTAAATTTCTTCCAGTAAATTTCTGGCATGACATGGTATAGAATGGCATGGATGCCATGACACCA